CCGTACGCGGACTTGCTGCCAGAGTAGTACGCGATGACGTTTTTGGTCTCTTTCGCACGCGGAGCCTCGGCCTTGATGAACAGACCATCCACGGCGGCGACGACCCACGAGAAAATGCCATCGGTGCTCTTGTCCTGCATTTGTAGACGGCAGACACGACGGCGGGAAAGTAGTACCGGGTGAAACAAAATAATAAGTCGAGAGATACGTCGTGTGGGTTGGTGTCATCAGCGACGGCGCCATCACTAGCAACGAACGGTGCGCATACCGTGTAGTCTAAGCTGAGAATTGATGTTGTTTGCTAGTCCTAATGTCGCGTCAGGTACAGCGGTAAAAAGATACCAGGGCATCTTAGAGACGAAGGGGACTACAGTACATTGATTCCACACTCTTGTCTCGCAGAAAGCTGTTGCGGAGCCGAACCAACATAGCCAGCATACACAATTGATGACAGTATAGCAACATCTATTTGAAAAAGGATGCCAAAAGCTGGCGAACCACCCGGGACCCCGGGGGTGTTTTTCGATTTGAAGCATGCTGACAACGACGACAACCCGAACTTGTGCCTCGCAGAAGCTGTTGCGGGGCCGAACCAACATGGCCAGCATACACAATTGATGACAGTAAATCAACATCTNGACTACAGTACATTGATTCCACACTCTTGTCTCGCAGAAAGCTGTTGCGGAGCCGAACCAACATAGCCAGCATACACAATTGATGACAGTATAGCAACATCTATTTGAAAAAGGATGCCAAAAGCTGGCGAACCACCCGGGACCCCGGGGGTGTTTTTCGATTTGAAGCATGCTGACAACGACGACAACCCGAACTTGTGCCTCGCAGAAGCTGTTGCGGGGCCGAACCAACATGGCCAGCATACACAATTGATGACAGTAAATCAACATCTATTTGAAAAAGGATGCCGAAAGCTGGCGAACCACCTGGGACCCCGGGGGTGTTTTTCGATTCGAAGCATGCTGACAACGACGACAACCCGAACTTGTACCCGCATTTTACCGACGGGGGCCGCGTATTATAGATGGGCCTCACTACACTAATAAAACGGCTGGGAACGCCAGTCGTACAAAACAAAAACGAACGATATCGCGCGGTTGGTCGAAAGAATGCCGTCAAGAATAACCCTCACAGCAGCAGTACTGACCACCGCTAGGCCTCACCTTGAATCTGTTGGCGTTTCGCATGCATCCTTCCTTGGTCAGGGGGAAGTCAAATGCCCCAACCGCAGGCGTGTTGTTGATGGCATCGATCACGTCCCACAAGATCTGGTATGTGACCACACCGACAAGCCAAACATGAGTAGGACATCCCAGTAACTGGCGCCAGCCAGGATCCTCAACGCCACGGCAACGCAAACTTCCACAGCTATGGCGCCGTTGCGTGGCGATCGCGTGCTGTGGGGTTTCCGAGCGACGCGCAGATAATTTTTGCAGGTCATGCGAGTGTCAGAGGTGGCATGTTTGCAATCGCCAGCACCGAAGCNGCCAAACATGAGTAGGACATCCCAGTAACTGGCGCCAGCCAGGATCCTCAACGCCACGGCAACGCAAACTTCCACAGCTATGGCGCCGTTGCGTGGCGATCGCGTGCTGTGGGGTTTCCGAGCGACGCGCAGATAATTTTTGCAGGTCATGCGAGTGTCAGAGGTGGCATGTTTGCAATCGCCAGCACCGAAGCAGCAACCTATGACGGGGGACGCATGTTCTCGACCAACTCGTCAGATTGCCGGCCCAGTCCACCTCCCGACTACGGTACTGAGACGGCTCTGTGTTGATCACCTACACACACGATATCCTGCACATAAGGAGCAGTGTCGAATGCTTTTGTGTCATTGCGGGGGATACGACATTCTGCATTGGCTCCCGACGAGGCATGTATTTTGTTTTTTTAGTGGTGCCGGCGTGTATATTACTGCTGTACGGTAGTCAGCGTCGCAAATAGTAGTACCTCAGCGTTGTTCTCATACAATAACTGCTGCTGTACAATATGCATACTACAGCAGTACTGCTGTAGTCGAGATATGCTGCGGCACTGCTGTATGTTCCTGCATGATACTGCTACTTCGACGAGCGAGTTTTTTTGTTTGAAAAAGACAGCAGGAACATACAGCAGTACATGCAGTATTCTACAGCTGTAATATCGTTTCTCCCTTGGTTTTGAGTTGCTCGTCCCCGGTTATACGTATATATATACACCAGAGGGAGCCTTACGCATACGTGCCGTGGGCGGCTGCATCTACGCATCAACACTCACCGCCGAAGAAGGCATTGACTTACAGCGAAGGGCGGAGTAGCTCGACGAGCTTGTGGAAACTGCCTTTCTCCATGCGGTACGACCGCCGCCAGCCGCGCAGTTTATCAAGGTCCGCCTCGTGTTGGGCCCACGGAAGTCGCTTGGGGTCGTAGATGGGCTCCCGTCCTTAAGGGCAGTGGGCACGATGAGGTTCTCCTGCTGCCACGACGTCCGCCGCCACTACTACGGCCCTCAGAAGAGCCAGGACCGACCGTGAATCTCTTGTTTTCCTGGGCTGCATTCTCCACGTCGATAGCTCGTCGACGGTGCTTCTCCCGGCGTTGCGCTGCGGGGTCTGTGGGATCCTGGCGCTTCCCGCGCTCAGCCATGGTGGTCGACTTGCCGTGGGAAGCTTTTTGGTGTGTTGTGGGTGTTGTCTAGGTGTGGTGTGATGAAGGCAGCACGCGTGACCGGTGTCTGCTTCGGCTTCCCGGAAAAATCGGGGCGTTTTTCCCCGGAACCGTGAAAGGAGCAAGCCCCAAAAAATCACGGCTCCTTCCTTTCACGATTTCGGGGAAAAACGCCTCCATATATTTGCAAGAAAACACGGTTCCGTGAAATATTCCGTGTTTTCTCGGTCGATAAGAACCACCCCAACTGCGAAGTTTGAGTGTGAGACTTTCTGTAGCTTTTGGTCGTAATGAGTCACGGCGACCGAAGCGCGACCGTCCTTTTCCCTCCATTCCAGGAGGAAAACAGGCTCTAAATATCGGCCTGTTCCGCCGCGCAATTCAGGGGCCCAAAGTTTGATTTCCTGGAAGCGTAAATTAATGCTGTAGACTAGCGGGGATTGACGCATCTCTGTCTTGGTTGGGTGTGATGGGTGACAAGTATCCCACCTTTGAGACCAGAACGATATCTATTGGGCACCGATTTACGATCTGTTGCCTTTTAAGGAAGGAAGGAGAAAAATAGCGCACTACTGTTCGTCACCGAGCTCGCAGCTGTAGCGCGTCGGGCTGCACCGGTTTGGAAGGCTCACCGCAGGTGGTCGCTGAGAAGCAAGACAGCCTGCAATATGTGAGAGGTGAAACACTGCTGAGCGCTGTTGCGCAACTCGGTGACCCTCAGAACGATGAGATACAAGATGCCGTTGATGTCGTTATGAGCTACTCCGAATTGCGTTATTACAGGCTGACCCAGGGCCTGGTGTTGATGGTAGAAGACGAGAGTGATCGAAAGACGCGCGCCGACCAGCCCTCGATCACTAGAAACAAAAAAACAATAGGATAGGGGTCATCGCGAGAGTGTCGTGGCAGCGGCGGAACGAGCAACGAGGTTCGTCGAGGT